TGTAATTTGCTTTTCTACAGCCTGAGCAGAAATCATCATTATCAAAAGACAGCTGAAATTTGTTAAGATTAAAATCTGATTCGAGAAAATTATTGTCAATAGCTGCAAGACTCAAGAAACGATGTCAGCTGTGATTGGTCAGTTTCGATGTATTGGTAGAGTTTTTGATCGTTCTGTGTAGGAATTAGGTAACTTAAATGTCGTGGCTGTAAGCTTTTTCATTTATAGAAAGCCGGTTGCAAAATTGTAGCGATCTATTTCTGAGTGCTGACATTTTCTACGTTTACAAGTTTATCCTTTCGTGCTCATTTGTACCTTCTTGTATTCAAATTTGTTGCAATGGGCTACTGTGTTTAATCTGATTTTCATGCTAAGAAAAGCTGTTTATTCCCCTTTGTAGCAAACATTTTGAACGTAAAAGTAACAGTTGAACATGCGGTGTTGTATTCCTCTTGAGAAGATTTCTTAAAGAAGTTTTGTCAGTGGCGTTTCGGCAACGTGGTACAGTGCTACCGTGATCCCTTTAGTAGCTCTGTTCGGAAACAAAAGATTACAAGCGGCTGTGAAGTCCTCTTACCTGTCCAGGAAAGCGTAAACAAGTTGTCACCCCACTCATTGTAGCGGACACCAAATGATTCAAATCCCCGTAGGTGGGTGTGGTTAGCTTGAGCGTTCGGAAGCAGATTTCGTACAGAGCCTCGTTATCAATACAGAATGTCTCATCTGTGTTCTCGACCAGCTGATGAACAGACAGGGTGGCATTGTACGGTTCCACGACAGTGTCCGATACCTGAAATTCGTCCAAGTTTGAATTAGAATCGATAAAAAAAACAAACCGGACGTTCAAAGAGTTGTACGCTCCAAAAATGTGCCACGAATATACCTCGAAAATAATTTTAGCCACAGTTCTGGTGTGTCACAATTTCCCAAAACTCTGCCCAGGAGGATGAAAGAATTTAATTTGATTTGATTGCATTTAATGGGGAGTTTTCGGCTTTCAATTAATTTCGGTAAGAATTTAGCCTTTCCAGCATCCATATATACATACTGGAAGTAAGGTAGGTCCTACACCAGCCTCTCGGTGGATTTTAGAACAAATAAGGTCGCTAAATTATCAGAAACAAGTAATATTCTTGACACATCTACCCCATGACCTTTCTCATAGTAACCACAAGTCCACCTGTTTTTCTTCGCTCACTCAACGATAGGAACAAGTTGCGCAAGATTTGGAGCTAGTGAAAACTCGAAGAGCAACGGGGTTTATTATGTACTGTTATTTCTTTAAATTAATTCCACCAAGACGAGAAATGAGTATAAAGAGAAACCAAATAATTTTTTGATGATATACAAGTGCCCCACTTTGTATCATACAGTACCACCTAGATTAAAAAGTTCAAAGTTGAGTGTCCCCCTATTGTACATTCAGTTTGCGCTAAATTACCTTTGGCGACGGCACTACACTAAATGACGTCATAATTCGATCGGGATATTCCTCCCGAATTTTCGAAATGAGCAAAGTGCCCATGCCAGCCCCAGTACCACCCCCGAGGGAATGCGTCAGTTGGAAGCCTTGAACGCAGTCACAGCCTTCTGTTTCGCGGCGAACAACGTCTAGCACCGAGTCCACCAGCTCCGCACCTTCTGTGTAATGACCTTTGGCCCAGTTGTTACCCGCTCCACTTTGACCTGACAGGAAAGGGAAACAAATAAATTCAGGGATTAAGGAGCGGTCATGATGTATCGCCTTGAAGAGGGGGGATCTTGGTTGACGATCCAATTGGCAGTTAAATTTCTATATAGTTCCCCTTTATACTTTGCTGGTGAAGACTGATCCCCCCCACTCCCCCTGAAAACCATGCGACCCCTGCCCCCCACACCCAAACCCTCCACAATGATTGGTTTCTTAGAAGGAGAGGAAGAAAATAAATGGATGTTTATGATAATGATTCATAACCGGTTTTTTTTACTATTATTTTTCTTAATTCAAAATTTATTTTAAAAGATTAATTAGAAGAACTAATTAAAAGATTTGTTTCAGATGTTTACGATTGTGTGAATTATTAAATATTTTTCGAAGACTACTGGAAAAAAGAGCAAATTTAAACTGTTATTATCAAAACATTCTCATGTTGAAATATATCTTATTTTGAAATAAAAATACAAGAATAACTAATGCTAAATAAAAAATTAGAACATCTGAATTTTTAATTCTATTTTAACGTGGAGAAAAACCGAAAAAAATTGTAAACATGTGGGTTTGATTACTCACATATTCCTTGGCGTGAAAGCCAACAGTATCTCGTAAATCTTTTGAAAGTAATCTTTTTCAAAGCGATTCTTTGTTTTCTGGCATAGCCGATATTTTGAGTTCTTATGATGGTAAATATTTTATCACCACGAACATCTGGTTTTGAAGTATGAAATATTGATTTTAGCATGTAAATTGCTGCAGTCCAATTACTGACATTACTCAAAGGACACGTAGCGAATATATTTTTTAAAAAGCAACTGTTCTTACCAAAAACGAAGTTGTCTGGTCTAAAAAGTTGTCCAAATGCTCCGGCTTTCACAGAGTCCATTGTACCGGGCTCCAAATCGACAAGCACTGCTCGCGGCACATATTTTCCACCTAATAAAAAAGAAAAAAAAATAAAATAGATAAAAAAAATAATGATTGAAAAAATGTGCATGGACATTCGGTGAAAATTGGTTTTAATTTACATTAGAAATATTAGATTTAATTGCAAAGAACACATTTTAGTCGTTCTCGAATGCTATAAAGTAAAAACAATACTACATTGTACGAAGTAAATTCATTTTTAATCGAGTTACCTGTAGCTTCGTTGTAGTAAACATTCACCCTTTCCAGTTGGCTGTCACTGTCTCCGTTATACGCTCCACAGGCGTCAATTCCGTGTTCATCAGAAATCACTTCCCAGAACTGATAATTAAAACTTGTTAGTGACATAAGCGTTAGCTTTTCATCCTATTCTATAAAAGTGAAATTTTTTCTTGTGACCACTTCAAATAGGCCGTTGAATTCTCCTCGTACAGCTTTCAAGGACCTCGTGGCGAAATTGTTTGAAATGAAACCACGACAAAAGTCTTCATCAGTTCTCCGAAAACTTGTACTCATGGGATTTACATTTCATCTTCGAAGAAATTCTTACTTTTGATGCGATTATGTATTTCTCGAAAGTGAGCGAAGAGTCGCTTTTGTCTGGAATAATTTTTAAAGGATATTCTTAAGTCTTAAAAGCCGCAGTGTAGCATAAGAAAATTATTGGTAGCTCTCAAACGACGGTTTGCAAACGAGTTTTTCGATTTGAGCAAATTCCTCTCCTATGTATGCCAATCTGGCAGTCTTTATTCTTTAATCAAAGATGTTCACTTCAGCTCGTTTTAAAGACAACGTGTCATGGGATATTTTAGTAAAATCTGCTATTGAATTGAATTTTAATTTGCCATCTCCTAAAATATGACGTACCTTTGCACCAATTTGATTTCCACATTGACCGGCCTGTAAATGCACGATTTCCCTCATGGTAAAAATTGCTGAACAGCTCTAGTGTGAGACAACAAGTGTTCAACTCTGTTTGATTTCTCAAAGGGTGTGGCAGCATCAATATTTGATTCCCATAAAAAGAGCTTCGTTTTTTTCTTTCTTAGTTAAGTATTAATCAATTCCCCATATGGTAAAAGCACTCTTTTCATTGGCGAGTTCGACAACTGCGGGCAATCGAACAAAATGATCCATTCATCGACAGCTGGCTTGAATGAATGAATTATTCCTTTTTTACTAATTAGATTAAAAGGACAAATGTTTGCATATTAAGATTTTGTGGGTTAAAAAACTTAGTTCATGGCCGTTTCAAACACTGGTAAATGGCAATAAATTAAGACAAAAAATTGACCATATCAAAATCAAATTTCTCCAACGTTACTACAAAATATATCGCCACGAAAAAAAAGGGGTGTTTTGATTTCTCAGTGTAATGAAACGGGTATGACGCTTGTTAGGAGAAATACAAAATTTGTAGATAGAATTTTCCGCAGTTTATCGAAATTTAAATAACATAAATTGGTTCAACGTTGAGAGAAAGGCTTGAGAGGCTTGAATTTATAACCGAATGCTACATGAAAATTACGTAAAGCTTTGAAAATGAACCCGGCTATACCAAACGGTTCTTTTTCTGCATTACACAGGTACTTTCGCACGCTCGGCAGCTTAAATCTCGCACGGTTTGCCGCTCGTAAGAGCAATACTAATGAATCTTTGCTACGATGACCCTCTGGATCGACTCATAGCTTCGTGCTTGGCCTGCTTCAAAATTTCCTTTCCATTTGCAGTCCGCTCTTTCAGGTGTCTACCCATTGATGAAAAAAAGTGCAAAGCAACCTGATTTCCGATATTTAATGTTTAGCAAGTAAAACTCTCAGCAGTTTCAATAAAAGCTAGTGATCAGCAGTCTACCGTTGTCTACGGAACCCCTTAAAGTGTGTTGAGCCTGCGAGCGCTCTCGCGTTTGGGTTTCGCCTCTCCGAGCTCAGCCGCTTAGATAACTGAAAAAAAGCATTGAAACTCATGCCTTGCATGTAGAAGAGAGTGTTCCGCTGCTGCTCGAAATCTCTTCCTAGGCAATATTTTCTCTTCACGAAATAGAAATAAACTTATTCCCTTTCAATAATGGCCGATATTACCGGGTGGGTCTATGCATACACGTGAACTTCTCATGCTTTCCGTGATTTATCATGAAAGTTCTCAAAAAGTGACTCATTAAGACTTAATTACAACAATTTATAATGGTTTGGAAAAATACTCGCGCGATTTATTCGAACCAGTTATTCACAACGCCTGTGACAGATGAATTGCATATCAGTCGGTTATTGAATAACTGATTGTTAAAATTTGAACTTAAATTTCAAGTGTACGTAATAAATTCGGTTATGCAGTCTATTCGTGATTAGCTAACCAGGAAGGAGATATTTGGTAAAGTATATTAAACAATTAACTACTCACTTTAATCTTAAAACGCTCCGCTTCGCCAGTTGAAAACACAGTTGTTAACACACGATTTCAAAGAATTTTTCAGTCTGGTCGATACGTGGAGTTCTGCGACAATTTGTGTGTGAGAAACACATTTGCTCATGTACATGACACAACAAAATTTCCTGATAAATACTTTTTTTCGGTTGCGTTAGTGTGACAGTACTGATAAACTCTAAATTCGTTCCGATTCGCGCCGGGATTCACCCGAGAAAACACTGGTGTCCCTTCTGTGCGCTATCTTACCCTTTATAAGAGGCCTATTTTAATTGAAGGCTTGTCTTATTTCTTTCATCCCTAGAATGCCTAGCTGTCCTGTTGTCTCTCGAATGTCTCCTTGTCTCACTATGACGCCTGTACGTTTTATGATCTCTCGAATGTCTGTGACTATCATGATGTCTCTGCTCATCTGCTACACTTTCCTTGGAGTGTCTGTGTGCCTTAATATCGTCTAAGCGTCTGTTTGAATCTCTGCGATCGTGTATGTCTTTTTCTGCATCTCTGGAACGCCTGTGTTTATCTCCGTGATGTTTATCTGTGTCTGAATTTTTCCTCTTTCTGTCCTTTTCGCCTAAATCCCTTTCTGCTGATTCTCTCGACTTTCTCCTTTTTTCATCATTCTTTGATTTCTTACCCGCTTTTCTTTCTACGGCGTCAGAGGAATCACTTTCGGAATGATATCCCATTTTGCTCTGCTTACTTAACTCTTCCTCGCTGTCAGATGAAGAATTTCGTTTCCTCTTCCTCTTCTTCTTCTTTTTACGTTTCTTATGGCCACTTTGTGCCTCCATTTCCTCCCGTTCAAGTTTATCCAATTTTCTGTACGAAAACAGAATCACATAAATTTTTCAGCAATATTAGAGTAAGGAAAGCTGAGATTTCGTCTTTCACCTCAAATTACATTTGACAAGCGTGAGAAGTAGAACGAATTCCATTCTAGAATACGAGGCGCGATAAACATTGGCAAAATCTCTTGGTTTTCGTTCTGTTCTGTTCTGTTCTGTTCTGTTTTTCTTTTTGTTTTTTTCTGTCGAGATGTTCAAGATTGTGCATGCCCCTCCCATTAAGCTTCGTAGAAAGAAAAGGCGAAATAAGAGAATTCCACAAATGAAGTCAAACCTCAGTAATTTCTTCTTTTGTTTCTCAGTTAGAGAAGCTAAGAAAGCGGCTTCTGCGTCGTCTTCACCCTCGTCATCAGATGCCACAATTTGCTGCAAAAACAGACAAAATATCTCATTAAAGGAATCACTCTTAACTACAACCGCTGTTGCCAAGAACAAATTCGGCCTGTCAATTGTAAGCGGTATTCTTCGCGCGACAAGTGCCAGCCCGCGACCACCCGCCAAAATGGCGGTAAACAAGAAAAGTTTAAGTGTCTGAAAGGATAATGAAAGTCAAAAAACGATAGTTTGCTGTTAGGGAACCCATCAAAACGATATCATCTTTGTTCTGCTTTCAGTTTTCAGTTATTAAGATTTCAGGCACTCTGCAAACAAAAACGAAATGATTCTTAGACTGGAAAGCATTCCTCACCTGATTTGGGTCACTTGGATCAAAGACACGTCCTAACACATTTTGTTTCAATGTTAGGCCTTCAGATTGCATGTCCTTTAAAAGCCTCATGGGGTCTGCAATGTCTGTAAGAAAAGGTATTTCATGAACTAGACTATGTTTATCTATTCGTCAAACAACATAGTGATACGCTTCCACATTAATTTTGCAGAAAAACGACGTAACACTAGGGCTGACTCAATCCTGATGCCAGACAACGATAATGATTTTTTTCTTCTTTGCGTTCGGGCATTGACGTAAACGAGAAACTGTGCCCGCTCTTAAGATATATTAAAGTTCACAAGGCAACCAGGTGGACAATCAGACATGGTTTGATGCTACTCTGGTTTAAAGATTTAATGAATGTAACCGAGAAGTCACAATTCATAGACTTAACGTTTCGACACTCCTGTCTAGTGCTTTCATCAGGGGCGATCTAATCGCTGCAACGAGAGGTCTTTTTGTAATTGCTTACTAATTAGCTGCCCTTTTTTCTGACGAGGTGTAAATAGGCGTCAGGTACTAAGCCGCCATTGAAATACACATGACAGCGATACTTAGCAATGCTCAGTTTGAAGAACTGGGGCATGAATTTCGAACGCTGTCCGTTTTTGAGCCGGCTGACGCTGTTGTACACGACCTCATTGTGTTCAAAGGGCAGCATGATGTGACGTACTGTGTGGCAACGGGCGCAGCGTAAAAGACTATCGATGGTATGTGTGAAGGGTTTTTTTCCTCTAATGTAGGGAACGTTTGTATTACATGGCAACGCGTTAAGTGAATACAGAAATCTTCAAACCTGTGATAAGACTTGGATCAACATTGGCATTTTTATTTTTGTTGAACAGCGGGCACTAGAAAAAGCAAAACAAGGCACGATTTTAAAATTACACCCATCGCATTGTGACTGGGTATAAAAATAATAATAAGAGATTTCTCCTAGTCAATCTCCTGAAAGGACAACCATGCAACCTCGCCTTGTAGTATCAATAAATTTCCTTGCAAACAAATGATAACAATCAACACTCATCAACTAAAAGGTGTTATCTTCATTAACACGTATCCACAAATTCTCCTAATTTATATACAAACAATTTAATAAAATATGGAAGGGAGATAAACTATTATGTTAAGCATAAATTGTGACTTAAGCACGTGAAGAGCACACTCCAGATCCCCGCTTGGCACATGTTGCACCTCACAGACACCCCAATCAAACATCACAGTCACACGAGCAAAGTCCTAGGAGTCATTTTCTTTCTAACTTCAAACAGATATCCCCTTCATAAATAATTATACATTCAGGTAACACATCTGCTGAGATCAGATCAAAGGAGATAAGATAGAAGAAAATAACGAACGTTAGAGTAGGATGCCCTACTAACCTACCTCTCTGTCTGTGTTGATGTGACCCCACTTCCCACATTTAATGCACTTGACATTGCGAACCTACACCAGTTTAAGAAATAAACGTGAGCCATAGATACGTGTGTACTTTACAGAATTAGAACTAAAGGATAAAATTTGTTAAGAATAAGAAAGATGGTAAATTTTGAGCTTGGTAAAGAAATAGAGAAAGATGTTTTTCATCTTGTCGTGTCACGAGCGTGGGACAAAGAAAATAATCTGAGTCCTCATGGGTTGACATTGCTGATCCTGGTGTTATGCAGGACGTGTGCCTTGCTCACCATGGAGTCTCTGTGGCTCAGTGGTAGAGCATGGGAGAGTGGAATCTGAAGGTCTGAGGGTCAATTCCTCATGGAATTTTCTTATTTTTCCACGCTTGTGACAAGAGGATGAAATTTGTACCAAAACAGCACATATATGAGAGAACAAGAAAGGATCAAAAGCATGACAGGCTTACAGCAATCCCAAAGGGCTGATCCCGGGCTTCAATGCCCAAACTCTTGGCATACCTGTAATAAAAAAAAAAAGGAAAAAGGTTTTGCAGTGAAGAAATTTAGCAACTTTAGAGCCGTATGTCTTCTTCTATCTTTAGGTCATTAGGGTACATACGCCTCTCTTGGGGCTCCACGCTGCCATTCAAATTTCACGTCTCCCTCATCCTCTTCTGGTACCTTTAAAAAAAGACAAAAAAATCACTTAATACCTCTAAGAAAACAATTAGCTGTGTGATCAGTTTAATTATATAGGGATAACAATGCATTTTAAAAGTATAAACGCCATTCTCAAAATTCTTTCTCCAATAGTGAGATTCCTGACTGCAGATTTCAGTACTGGTAAAGATCCCTGGTACTGTACAATATAACAGGGTTTAAATTTATTGACTACATGTATCAAATTCTTTTCTCATTAAGAAGTTTACTTTACATGAACATGTTGCAGTATTAAACATGTACACCTGTTATGTTCATAACCTAATGTGCAACACTCAAGCTTACCTTCTGGTCTAAAATGAGTAATCACAGCAGCAGCATTTGATTCATGTGCAAAAAGAAACAAACAAATAAAAAGAGAGGCATCCATGAGTGCATTTGTTCAAATCAACAAGTTGTGGTTCAAATATTGTTTTGATTTAAAATATGACAATGATTACAACATAAATGGGAACAAAATTCAAACTGATTTAAAAACAAATAATTTGCCAAAGATATTCAAACACTAGAACCCTATTAATTTTTTCTAATTTTATTTGTGGTGTTTTAAAGCATTCCTTTATGTGTATAATTCTTTTTTTTTTTTTCATTTTGATGAAATGCATAATATTGTAGAATGTCCAATACTCACATAGCACAAGAAGCTAGTTCTAAATTTCACTCCCTTTTCCTAAAAATGCTAAATCTCGACTTCACTCTACAATGACATTTCACAAAACAGTAACCTTTGTTGAAACCAGGAGGAGCATCATATAAGAAATCTAAGCCAGACTTGATTCTTTCATCATTGCTGATGGCTTGCCTGGTGAAAAAGAGAAGTTATCAATTTAGACAGTGGGGTGTTAAATTTTATCTGCTCATATTCAGGGTTGTAGCTAAGATTTCACACTGCTGGCTGAAATTTGAAGTGGGGTGGCTCAAAGATATCAAATGATTTTAAGTGCATAACATCAAATCTGTTCATTTTGCATTACCAAGCAATCACCAGCACAAAATCCAGCTTGTGATTGCTGCTTTTTCATCCTGCAAATTTTTGCCAGCAGCTGGTGATTAGCAACAATCTTGTATATGATTGTGAAACCACAGACAAATCAAAAGGTATTTCAATAGATTAGTGACCCTTTAAAGATGCATGTAAAGTGGATTGCTTTCTAAGAAGATTTTGCTATAAATTATTAGAACCCAGAAGAAACACTCACTAGTAATTGTGTGGTCTGATTGACTGGGTGAGCGTAGTCCAGGAAGGACAGTGGTAGGAAACAGTGACTAACATTGCCACAACTACAGTAGCAGTAATCATCAGACTTTCCACGTTTTTGTTAGCTACAGCAACACATTGTTATTTATGCCAGATTTAAAACATTCAGCAAAATTTCTGATAGGTATCTAGTAATTTATATTTTCTAATTAAACTTTGTACCTGTTCTTGAATCTTTCTTGTTCCTTATTATATTGGAGCTCTAGTTCTTTTTCTTTCTGCTGGGAAGCAAGCAGTTTTTGCTCTGCCATCCATACCTATTACAAAGGTACCCAAATCAGTTGTAATGTGTTCCTTTATATACTGGAGCTTTATGGCTAGTTCTTTTTCTTTCTGCTCAGGAGTGAGCAGTTTTTGTTCTGCCATCCATAACTATTACAAACTACCCAAAGCAATTGCAATATGTGAAATTTCTGAACAATTAAATAATTATGAAAGGATCCCAAGTCAAGTCTAATATATATTTCTAACAGTGTGCAATTAAGAAAAAAAAAATCAGAAATAATTTTGACAAAAAGCAACTATCATTGTTGAAGTCACTTACAAGAAATTGATCAATCTGAATACAGAAAACGAGCAATGAATACCACCTTCACCCTTCGTCATCTTTGCTTGCCTTGTTACTAAATTTAACACTGTTTGAAACAGTTTAATTGATCATAAGTTCGAATCATTGTTCGTTTCCAACAACTTCCGTGATTGGTTACTCATGTCTCAATGATCCTGGCGGTAGTAGTGGAACTTTGAAACGTGTTTGTGTGCTTAAGATGGAAAGATTGTGCGTTTAAGGGAAAAGAAAGAATAATGCGCATGTTTAAGTTTACTGAGCAGGTCTCCAAATTACCCTTTTGATGTTAGCCTTAGAGCCTGGGTGGAAATCCTTCTTGTTCATAAACTTGGCAAACATCTTGAAGGTTGCACAGTATTGCAGGGGGAAAGTATAAAATAACGCAGTACTGAGTAAGTTTTGTAAAACTAGAATGGTTTAGACGTTAAAGCAAGGATGCTCAACTTCTCCGCCATTTTAATTTTTATATTGCAAGGTTACCTGGGATGTTTGTGTTTGCAGCAGTGCCAGGTCCTCTCCAAAATACGTTCAAAATAACCAATATGTCTGCCATTTCCGAGAAGGAGTGAAACAAGAAGAGGTATGAATGCGATTCTTGAGATTTTTTTCGCGGTGAAAAAGCATTAAAAAATCATAAATTACCGCTACAAACTTAAACTAAACTATAAACAGCTCAGAAGCTCAACTCTACGCATTCACTTTAAAGCCCAGACGGCGATTTGTGACTGAACGAGGAAGTAAAAAGACCTGTCAAAGCTGGGAACGCGCGTGTAACAAACCAACATGTCGGCTATTTCCGAGGAGGATTTAAACAGGAAGAGGTTTGAATGCGACCCTCTGGCGGATAATGCGATGGAAGAGGTAGCGAGAGTTCGCGGTGAAAAAGCAATAAAAGGTCATTACGTACTTAGGGCTGTCCAAGATCTTGGAAGACTCTCTGGGGATTCCCATTGCGCGAGATTTATCGAATTCTATGAACAAGAACCTCCATGGGAAGTTGATTGGCAAATGTGGGAGTTAGGAAGGCGGGTATTTGTCCGAAACAGTGTCTTCGCCGGCCTTGTTCTCATGTATGGTAGTCTTGTTTCCTCATTCACCGCTGCCTATGGGAATAAGGTACATATATTATTATTTTGACTTTACCTCTATAGACTGTGTGATCAGTGGTTGGATAATTTTGGTGTCATATTGGACACCAACATAATTATGTTTTTGACACATCGTAAAATTTTTGTGCACATGTACGCTTTCCAAACACACATAGATATCCGTCAGAGTGACCATAGCAACGAACTCTAAAAACCACTGTTCTTCAACTAGACGTCAGTGACACGACTAATAATTTTATCATTTATGTATTTTTGTTTAAATATTATGTAACAGGTGTTGTCAGCTACGGGACGCATTTCCCCTAACGGAGATGTTCGCCGAAGACTGTTTGAGACCCTTTTCTTTGTGAGGGCTGTTGTTCTTGGTTCGTCGAGTGAAATTAAAGAGGCCTGCATGAGGGTGCGTCTGCTCCATGCTGCTGTACGCCGTCACCTTCTTCATCGTGACGGTGGGTGGGAAATTGAAAATGTAGGTATAATTTAGTTAAATTACCTTGTACCACCGAAAGAACTTGACTGCGTTTTGTTGTTGTTGAACAACACGTGATCCTTTCAAGGAAATCTAAATCATGCTCACTCTTAGCCCTTTCACCTCTAAGAACTTAGTAGTAATTCTCCTTACTGTCTGTCAAACAACTCATACGATGTTAGCTGGAGAATTTGGTATTGGATCAGTTACTAGTAATAATACCCTAATTGATAATTTTCTTTAGTCTCAATACTTCTTTGCCTTTGTCTTTTTCTCCAGTTTGGATGTCCAATCAACCAAGAGGATTTAGCTGGTACATTGTCTACATTTTCATCTGTTGTGGTTGATGGACTAGAAATTCTTGGTGTTTCTTTGTCAAAAACTGAAAAGGATGCTTACCAAACTTTGTGGAAATATGTTGGTTTTTATCTGGGTAAGTAAGCACAGAGAGTGATTGGGCCATAATTTAAGAAGTGAAGTTGTTGCAGTTGAGTGTTGCAAAGTACCCTTGTATGTATGCCGTCACATCACAAGTGTCTACATGGTATAAAAAGTTGTCTTGACACTTTTTAAATATTACCAGAAGCATATAATCTTGGTTATATGCTTCTAGTAGTTGAGAAAAATTAACACACAATTCTTCCTTCGGCACGTTAACTCCCAGAAGTGATTAACAGGTAACTTCGCCCTATAATATCCATTCATTATCTAGCAAACAGGAATACTTAAATTTATCTGGTGGAAGTTGTTATCTTGATCTAACACCATCACAGGGAAATCTACAGCTGTTAGAGGGGAGAATTAACAATCAGATCTTGGGAGTTGAGGGTTTTGAAAAAAAATTCTGACTAAGGTAAAGGTTACAACCATTTAAGCATTTTTTTCTTGAGGAATGACAAATTTGTTGAAAAATTTGCAATTTCATTGAATTCAACTATTTCCTTAGCATAAATGTAAATACATTATAGTGTAAATATAAGTCATCAAAGCTAGTATAAATACTGTGTGCTCTTTGAAACAAGCACCTTTGAGAATGGCTCTTGAAGGTTCTGTCTGCCAGATGTGTTTGCTGTAAGAAGAGACATGGGTATAATGTAGTAATGATTCAGAGCATGTACCCTAAGAGTTAGTGTTGTCTATTCTAGGAATGACAAGTGATTTACTATGTGACAACTATGAAGAAGAATGGAAACTGTGCAATATGATAAGAGTGCGACAGTGCAAACCAGACCCTGATTCAGTGGTGTTGACTGAGGCACTTTTACAGGAATTTGCGAGCAAAAATCCCTTTTATCTCAGTTACAATTTCTCAAGCAGTTTATCAAGACACTTCATTGGAGATGATCTTGCAGATGAGCTTGGCCTTTCAAGATTTAACATGCTCAGTCAAGTTATTATGAATTTGTTATACTGGATTCTCAGAACATCATGTTTCACTCAAAGGAGAGTTTCTTTTCTTGAGCATGGACTGTATAAATTTGGAAAGTATGCCCTGAATACAATAGTTCACCTCTCCTTAGGAGGCAGGGAACCTTCTTTCATCATGAAGGTGTATTCTTGAGCAGGTATCATTCAGTTTACATCTGTTCATCAGAGCTAGAGATCTGGTTCATGAACACAGATCTTCTTTTAGTTAGTAGTTATCTTAGTGGGATCCTAGGACAATGATTCCTTTTGAGTTGATTTTGGTCCCTTTAGCATGTTAAAAGCTAAGCTCTTGGAGAACTGATTCAGAAATGAAGGAGAACTGAAGGAAACATGGCCAGTATTTTTAATTATAAAATAATTCAAATAGTACACACGCTCTGATTGGCCATAAAACCATTTTACATGAGCGTATGTAAACACGGTTTTCATTCCTCTTTCATTGGTTATTTTATAAAAGAAATGTAAAATGGTTTCCGTGTTTACATAGCCTGATGTAAACACTTGGGAGGTTGGGAGATCACTTGATAAGCTGGAAACCACTCCGCTTAGCGTTGTGGTTTCCTACACTTATCTCGTGTTCTCCCAACCTCGCGCATGTTTACATCAGGCTATGTAAACATGGAAACCATTTTACATTTCTTCATTGTTTCATCAAATTCAGTCCCAAGTAATGGCCAATTGAAGACAATCTTATCTCTTATGTGAAATTACTGTCCTTTAAGGTTTCACTGCTTATTCAGGGATAATATTTTCTCACAGTTAAACTGAGTGACATTATTTTATCTGAAGTTAGGACAAAAAGCAAACCAAGACTTTTAAACCAGTCTGAGTTTAAATTCTTTGCTTTGTATATAGCAAACTTGTCCTCCTGCTGGTAGGGATTTTTCAAAACAGTATGTCCATTTAGAATTTTTATTTCCAATTTATTTTTTGTGGCCCTGAAATGCTTCATTGGGGGAAGGTCAATTAAGTACACATATAGTGTTGTACATTGTAAATGCATCCATCGCTATTGCAATCAAGAAACAGTTTAATCAAAAATCACTGTGGTGGGTCATACAATGTATGAGGTGATCTTTTCACATAAATTATACAGTTTTATGTAGAGATGGCCCATAAAAAAGATAGTTTTGCAACAAACTTTATTGTTATATTTCATATGCAGATTACTTAGTACAAACAAACAATAAGTATTTTTTAATGCCAAAAAAATAACTCTTACACGTGTTCGAGACATTGCTTTTTAAAGGCCATTACATAAAAAAAGCAGTTTACATTTACACTCTTAGTCTAATTCATACATGTTAGCACAGTTTTCCATTTCCTGAATTATTAAAAAAAATTAACATACAAGTTCCATCTTTATATTAGATGTGCCAAGTGTTGTCCCTCCTCTCTTTCCCCCCCCCCCCCCCCCGGAGTTCAATATCCTTCCAAGGGGGGATATTGAAGCTTCCAATTGATCAACTCATACTTAGGATGTTGTTGGACAGCAGAGATTAAATATGTCTCCTCCTTAAGCACAGGTTCTTTGGTTGAATTTCACATTTTGCCCAGGGGCTCTTTTGGAAGGAACCTCCACTTGTGGAACAAAAACAAATTGTCATTAAATTACCAAAAGTAATATTTTATGTTAAAATGTTTGGCTGTAAATAGGAAGTGAATTGGAGTGAGAAAACGCAAAACAGGTACTAGCTGTTTCAAACTGTAACTCTACATGTGTTGCTTAGGTGAATCATATAGTAGTATCTGGTATCTGTCCTCTAGGGACTCGTGCAAACAAAGGAGCTATTGTCTGGGGAATAGTGGTATCTTTAAAAAGGGAAGTGGAGAAAATTCTTCCAGAACTTTACAATATTCTTCTGCTACAAATCCTGAGCATTTCCTGATACCGTTCATCATATGATCAGACACAAAAAAATTATTCATACTAAATCACTTAAAATTAGATGTATAACTGGTAGATCTACAAAATGTATCTATGCATGCTAATTAGGGATTCATTCCTACTACTACTATTAATAACATAATAATAATAATAATATTTCATATTTCTGAAGCACAAATACACATGTTGCATATGATCATATGCGCTAAAAAAATATTACTACAATTAGACCAAGGGGGGTTACCATTTATAAAGTGTTTTGGGCACACCCTAAGTATAGTTAGATACTGCTGACATTGTTTAGTTGCTTCCACGACCAAATATCGCCAGAAGCAACAAGAAGATGCGAATGATATCCATGTACAGAATCAAGGATGCAAAGATGTACTCCTCTGGACTCAACTCGTACTTCTTGCCACCCATCACCAGTTGCACGTCATAGGCAAGGAACTATTGACAGACAAGTATTGAATGGTTAACCCTTTACACCCTAACATCAGTGTGCATATTCTCCTTACTGTTTCCTCTACATTTCCAAAAGTGCCGACAAGGAGAATTTATTCAACAACCAAAAGCTTGTTCAGTTGGTGATCATTTCCTTTGTTCTCATGAACTTATAATTTTAATGTGATTCTGGGTGAGACTGTAAGAAATACTTTGGTGCTAGGCACTCTTAGAGATCAGGGTTAAGATTTCAGTTTTTTTTCATGGTTATTGTACCTTTTTTATTCTGAAGTACCACACAAAATTCCTTTATATACAATGTTTTTCCTTCTGTTACGGTATAAAGACAAAAAATCTTTTGTCACTAAAACAGCCAAGTGCCCTTAGCATTCCTCCCAATAAACACTGTTTACTTCTATTGTCAATTGGTAGAAGTTAATTTCATTGCCAAAATATATGAATAAGGTTGTAATACTTTAAATTATAATTATTTAAAACTCATTTCAGTTGATTAAAAAAATTGTTAACGTCATAGCTGAGAACATTTTACTTACTGCAACAAAGACCAGTGCCAATAAGCCACCAATGACAATCTTTCCAGCCTGTTATTCAATAAAGCAACAAAAATTATCTTAAAATACATATACTGTGAGTACAACTGTACATGTAATTACATTTAATCTTAAAACAATATTGGCAAAAGACAATCCTGTCTACTTTTCAACAACATCTGGCTCCTGAAAATTGTAATGATAAAAATACAAATAAAAATAATAATACTTTATTGATTTATACATAAAAAAAACAAAATGTAGTTAATCCTGTACTAGGATCAAATTTAAACAGTCCATTGGTGGTTGCCTGGACTAGCAACTGAAGATGCATGTACATCATGAGCATAATCAGGATTTTTCTAAAGGGGGGTCACACTGTGTCAAACAGAGGGTACTCACCAAGTTGTCATTTCTAACTTCATGCTGTGTTTTATTTAGTGTGACTAAAAAAGGCTTACAAGGGGAAGGGAGGGGGGGGGGTCATGCACACCCCAGGACCTCTCCTAACGACACTCTTGAATGCATGATCACACATACCGTTGTTGAAAGTGCCAACCAAAGGGGAGTGAAGATACTGAGAAAGAAAATGGCCAGAGCTGCACAGAAAAGCACTCCACCCCATGTGGTGAAGTCATACTATGGAAAAAATTTTAAAAAATCATAAATGTTAAATTTTTGCCTAGATTATATTCTCAACATTCATGTTTACCTTTAAAACATGTTGCCCTTGGTTCTGGTCAACAAAGTGATCTTAGTTCATTTTGTTTAGTAAAAAATAATTCACAACAAGCGACAAGACTCCATGGCTTATTTAAGAATAATTAAAAGAGAAAAAGCCAAGACATGGTGTAACATTCAAAAAAACTATTGACATAATTAGATGTTAGAGCCCCAAATTAGGGTTTCTCTTAGTATTGTAGTTGTGTAATTGCATGCTGAAATTGCAAAATTTACTATCATCCATGAAAAAGTTAACAAAAATGTTAATTGACAGCAAGACTTACCTTGGTCTGACAGGCAAAGATCATAACAGAAGCACAGACCAGCTGAAAAACAAAGTGTTAGCTCTAAGAAATAATTTCATTAATTACATTGTACATCTGAGTATATGCTTTAAGGTATACTTGAAACAATGGTGGACTCTAGAACAAGGAGTTTTCCTTCAAAGGCAAGGCTGCATTATTATGTTGTGTTCTTAAGCAGAACCATTTTAGCTCTCACACTGACAACAAACAAACAGGGTAACTTGAGAGGACTTCTTTGTTGGAGGAGGAGACCCTGGGCTCTTGGGGAAAGACTTTCAGTTCCCACAGTGGCCCTCTCAGACCCATATCAACAAACTGTGTGGGCATCTTAAGAACCTTTTAGTGGGAGGCCCTGAGTGGGTCATTCTTTGCATTCTTTAACAAGACTCCGAGCACTCACAATGCCTCTCTCCCCCCTAGGAACTTTTATTAACCATTTCTTTTTTACACCCTGTCATCATTGTGCATTTTCTCTACACTGTTTCCTATAAATTTCCAAAGGTGCTCATGAGGAGAATTTGTTTAACAATCAAGAGCTTATTTAGTTGATGATCATTCCCTTAATTCTTGTGACCTTAATGTTTGATTCAGGTCAGATATTGTGGGGAGAAATTAGATGCTAGTCACTCTTATGTGATAAAGAATTAAGGGGAGGGGGGGGGGGTCGTCTACAGGGGACTAAACCAGCAACCTATCCATGAGGGAGCATTACTTGGATTCATGTTATCCTAGACAGACTGGCATTGACTCTCCAATGCATTCATTTGAAAGTCTCAAAGACTTTGTCTTTCAGTTCCCTGGTATTTGTAAGGATTATCTGAAAATTTTGTTAATTAAATGTGGCATCCAAAATAACTTACAGTGGTCACTCCCATCATGATTAACACAATGTTGGTCTCATGGAAGCTGCAAGTTTGACAAGTAACACAAATGATAATCAATAATTTTTGTACAAGATTGATTAACAAGTAGAACTATAATTACATCTACAAAAACTTATTCTTTACTGAAACTAAGGCTCAAAGGTACCATGAGGGGGTATTCAATTCAAGCAACTTGACCAGCATTGTTAATAACTTCAAAATTAATATATTCTATTTGTGGATTAAACTCTTTCATCCCACATTTCTGGGAACCCAAGTTTAATACAAAACATTTTCATTGGAACTATTACATCATCAAATTTAATCAGATCAAATTAATGTATTTTTTATCTGAAGGTCATAGATTAAAAAAACACTGTAAATTAGTAAAAAAATAACCCAATAATTCAATATCTTTATTGTGTAATGTTCAGTCAATTCTTATAAGTTAGTTGGAAATTAGCATTGGATCAACTAATTATCCCCAAATTGATATTTTTCTTTATTCTCATCACTTATCTGGTTTCACTAGTAAATCGGTGTAATACCTAAGATCAGAATCCTCAAAATTCTATGTATTATTTGCCTAACATTTTCACAAGAAGAGCAAAAATTGAATACAAAGTCATAAAATATCACAAATATTGGAAAATTTCAGATTTGTAAACTCAATTTTATTCTTGAATCAAAGTTGAAATTTCCTACCTGGAAATCACTGCGACGAGGTAAGACAAAGATAATGTCTGGAAGAAAAGAAAACATTTAATATCATAATGTAAATTAATTGATGTCCAATTTGTGAAAATAACTCTATATTAACTCTTGTACCTCAAACGAGGGGCAATTTCTTGATTTTTTATTTCATTACTGACACTAATTCATCATACTTACAAAGAGAGAAAGCATAATAACATTGGCTGGATAGCTCCTCCTAACAGACAGAAAAAAACATCAAAACTGTGATATATATTTATATACATAAGCTTAACAACATGACTATATAAATGTTTTAAGCAGAACAGTACTTAAAACTACCAATTTTCTTAAACTCACCTCACTCCCTCACAACAGACCAAGACAAAATACAACACAAAGAACACCACACTGAAATGAAACCAAACAGACAAGTCAGTTGGAATTCAAGATGAGAGTTTGCCTTCATTTGATATTTGATTTTACTTTATATTAAAGTTCACATGGCAACCAGGTGGACAATCAGACATAGTTTGATGCTGCTCTGGTTTAAAGATTTGATGAATGTAACTGAAGAAGTTATAGTTCATAGACCCAATGTTTTGACACTCCTGTCTAGTCCTTTCATGGAGGTTGATCTAAATGCTGCAACAAGAGGTCCTTTTATACGATCACTAATTAGCTGCCTTTTTTCTGACAAGGTGTAAATAGGCATCAGGAAGTAAGCTAACATCATCACAATTTAAATGAACATGGGTAGAGTTAATATGCAAAGCTTCCAAACAAAGGTGCTGGTGGTAATGCTGATTAGTGGTGATAATTTTACACTTTTCCTACCCAATTGTATGGTTAGTTAGGCATGTGTGCTCCAATAAAGCTGAAGTTTCTTTTTTGTGAAAGAACACTGCTTTTGATGCTCTTTCAAACATGTACCAAACTGACGTTTGTATAAAAGGACCTCTTGTTGCAGTGTTTAGATCGCCCCTGATGAAGGCACTAGACAGGAGTGTCAAAGCATTGGGTCTATGAAATGTAACTTCTTCGGTTACATTTACTAAATCTGTAAACCAGAGTAGCATCAAACCATATTTTATTTTACATGTTTTTTAAGCAACAATATTGAGAATATACTTGAAACATTTACACAAAGGTGGTTAATTAAAACACATTTACTTACTATGCAGAAGTATACATGGCCCAATTATTTTGTGCAAAATCTCTAACATTGTTACTGCAAAAGAGAACAACAATGTTTGCATAAGAAATTCTGTAGCTGTTCATTTATTGTAAACATGTGAAGTGATGACAGGAATCCCGTATATTTGATATAGTGTCAAGCAAAATTTGATTTTCTATTTGTATCTGACAAGATAACACTTTCAATATTGCCAAGGTTCACTGCTTTGCCTCTGAGATAATATTCTTGTTCCACACACAAAAAATTGATTAATCATAAATCTTTAATCCAGGTTTAAACCCTTCAACTCCCATGAGTGACCAACTGAAGACAATTATCACTAAGGGGCTTATATACTGACAATATAATTATATAATGACAATACATTTTTAATTTCTGGTAACTTGAATTTTTCAACTCTTTGTAATGTGTTATTAAAAGTGTATAATTTGAATGATCTGAGATCCACAACATAAAAAAGAAAACTTCTTACTTGAATATGAACAAACAAATTGCTCCAACAGTTGTTGCTAGTTGCAGCATAAGCACAGCAAAAACCTGTCAAAGAAAAAAAAAGATCAATTTTACAATTTAAAATCCAAAATCACATTCAAATTTGATCTCCTATTTTTTCTCCATTATATATATATATTCTCCATACTGTTCTCTATACATTTCCTGATTGCTGGCAAAGAGAATTTGTATAACAATCAAGAGTTTCTTTAGTTGATGATCATTGCCTTTATTCTTGTAACCTTAATGTTTGACTCAGGGGTGATATTGTGGGGAGAAATTACATGCTGGTCATCACAGTAGCCCTTGGTCCTTTCACTCACAGGTTAGAGTGTCTTGTGTAGTTATTAAAATTGTCCATCACCCTCTGAATTTTTCTTTACAAAAATGGGACTATAGTTAGAAAATGTTTCATTTTAAGTCTGGAATTTTTTAGAGGTACAACAATAATTCAAAACAGTAGCAGACAGGAATGATGCACTTGACACAATTTTAGCTCTCCCTATAAACCACTTGATAGCTTACAGTCTTTGCAAGTTTTTATAAATCACATACACTTTCTTATGCATGTTGTTACCAAATTCATGGGCATTTTGTCTGAAAATTTTCAAAATTTCCAATAATGGGAGATGCTACAACTTATGAGCTGCTAAAAAATAATGAACTGTGTGTGTACTCACCCGTCTGATAAATCCTGTGCATGACACAAGCCATATCCAGTGAAAGAAAAAAAATTTTAATTAATACACAAGACTTACCTTATATAAAAAGTATAAAAAATATGAGGATATAATTGCTTTAAAAGGAGTACATTCACTGTACTTAAGTTAAAACAATGTCAATTCTATGACTTCAGTTATTATAATATTAATTTTATTCAATAGTTATTCATTTATTACAATTTTTGTCTGAACATACTCATTTATTCCCAAATACATCCCACAATAACTTTTTACCTACTGGGCCATTTTCTTCAAGCATATTCTTTGTGCTAAGTAATTCTAGATCTAATAATATTATCATTAACCCTTTAACTCCCAAGATCTCATTAGCAATTCCCCTTACTGTCTGTCATACATTTCTTATGATGTAAATTTGGAGAATTTGGTATTGGATCAATTAATAATCCCTTCATTGATATTTTACTTTATTCTCATCACTTTTAAGCTTGATATTTTATTGATATTGTAAGGAGAAATTCTCTCTTAGTCACTCATGGGAGGTAAAGGGTTAACTCAAAAACTAATCGACATCAGAACACGTGTTTGCCAATTGGTATGGTGTTGCCCTAATTATAATGGACTCAACTGAAACTAGTTTCAGTTATACTAGTTTTAATTGTAACTTGATTTATAACAAATGAAATATAAATGATAACAAGTTAAACTTTATTATGCCGATCAATGTAAGAATTATGTACGACAATTTTTTCGCCACACGCCTAAACACATGGCTATGCTAGTAATAAATTACTGTAACATGCCAATTGTCCAATATTCTGGGAGTTATTCCTAGATATCTACATGAACATCGGGTACATGATGTGAATTAATCGATTCATAATTCTGAAATCAACGATTTTACTAAAATGATAGGAACAAAAAACAATGAACTACATCACCAAATTTAAATCGACAGCAATATATTAATATTGCCTTATGTGCCTCTGATATAAGCTTGTTTACATTATATTTTGACCGATGTTTTGCAACAAATCGTATTTTAAACCAAAGAGTGAATGGCAAATTTTGAAACGACAGTCATGTATACTCTTTATGATAAGATGAAATCCAAATTAACTGAGGGTAAACTAGAGCACAAATTTCACTTTCGAGTACCGTAACAATACATAACATTATGAGTAATATTTAGAAGGAAGCTGAGACGTGGTTCGGTTGAACGAAATACTGTTAGAGATATCGGTCATAAAAAAGAAATAAGTAAATAAAACTTACCAAGCCTTATGGATTTGTCATTAAAACTGATGATCTCAGAGAAGTGCGATGCATCTGTTTGCCCATATTCTACGTCAGGGTACGATGAAGGGTAAGTCGGGTAGGTTGTCATTGGAGCTGCTGGAAATGGTTGCGATTGATACGAGGAATTCCCGGGCGTTTTCTCTGATTTTCCACCACCGACAGCCGATTCATAAGACGGTGGAGGAGCTGTAGCGGGGTAAGGTGCATTGTAAGGCACTGTTTCAACCGGCGGGGGATAAGCAGCTTGGTTAGAAGGCGGAGGGTAGCCAACGGCAGAAGAGCCATAGTTGAACATGGCAGGGGGATATTGACTCGTTGGTTGCTGATTAGGGTATGGCGGTTGATTCCCCGATGGATTTGTCGACATAGTCGCTTCCCTGGTCAGTAACTTTTACACGATTACGAAACAGATGGATGAAGCTTCGAAGAATATGAACGTGAAGAAGAAATGTGCTTAGCGCCACACGTTATTACGTAAAGGCCACAGCTGCTTCCAGTTGGTCCTCTATCGTTCAGATCGTGACAAACGTCACGTGACTTAAAATGACGTCATGTACGTCAACAGTAAGGAGAAAGATTGAGTTCATTCCTACTGATCGACAGTACGGCGACTTCCTGTTTCAAATTTTTTTCCTCTTTTGCTTGACAAGGAGGATTCTTAGGAATCGGCTTCAAATGTCGTCCGATTTGTCACGAGGAATCGTCCGTTCAGATCTCCCCTTCAGATCTTCAACTGACCTCATTAATTAACACCTTTCTTTTTCCAAATTCTTAACAATGTCGCACCCTATGTTCTGATGAGTGTTTTATCACCTTACATAACGTTTCCACAACTTTCCAATCTAAAATCAAAGAAGCTATTCGCATTCGATGGGAGCAACCTACACTAAATCATCAACTTTATTATGTTAATTTAAAACTTTCCTATAATAATATCTTATTATTGTTTGTTTTTTTCAATGAGCATTTTGTTAGACACTTTAAATTCAACTTTGTACTTTATGTAAATCAGAACTGAAGATGACAGAGGAACTTTCGAAACATGTTTTTAAAAAATGTCGTATATTTTCTTAAATTCGTGACGTATCTGCTGCCGGAGTCCAAACGTTTCTCTTTCTACTTTCTCATATAGCTGACCGTAGTTGATACAGGACCATTGTCATATTCGAACGTAGAATATGGGTTTTTTCATCAACAGGTTCTCTGTAGCTAGTGCTTAGGGCGGCGGATCGCAACTTCGAAGTTGTTTGCTTGGCAAACTCAATTTTTCCTCTCTCTTACCGATTGCAAAAAACCAATGGAATCTTTCTTTGTTCAACGACCTGGCAAATAGGACTTTCGTTCTTATTCTGGTATGAAAAAGGTTTTTTTTTTTCCTAAAGAAGGACGTTGCAGTAAGTACAACATACAGAAACTTTTGTTATTTAGATGGCTTCCATCAAAACAGACTTAGCTGGAGGGAAATCACAATCTAACAAGTTTTCCTTGACAAAAACCCTACACAAGTATTTGTTTGCAAATGAATTAAGTAAAATTGTTTTCGTTCATGACTTTAAATACAATTGTTGGAGGAAATGAGCCACACATTCGTCCGTAATTCTTCAGAACGGCCATAACCGCCTTGAACTAGCCGATAAACCATTTCTCCTGAGATGATCTATCCGGATAGATTTTTATTAAGAGAGGGTAAAACAAGACAGTTTGACCAATGAACTAGTGGCCTTCTGTGCTAAAAATCTACCGAGTGATCATGAAACAACTTAGAAGAGTACAAAGCATGAATATTAATCGCAAAACATTTATCATCTACAGTTAAAAATTTATAAAAAAAATTAATTCAAAACAGATAGATATCTCTATTCACAACACTATGCTAAGAAATGTTTTTTTCATGGCTGAACTAGAGGATTTATAGCGTCCTTACGTATTTCTAGAGGAATTCCATTCCACAGCCTGAGCTTTGTCCCATGAACTTGAAAGATCCTGCCTCCTTCCGTTTCTTTGAAGACTGAAGATCAACTGAGGATATTTCGTTTCATTCCTTGATAGGCATCTTAGAACTAAAAGCCTGAGCTAAACCGAGCAGACAGAACAATATACAGAAACTTATCACCAACACCTAATTCCCGTTGCAGCAGTATATGGGTAAACTTATTGCAGAAATTACCTTCTGTAGGTGTTTATGTTTACAGACGTTTGTAGCATGATACTAGGTAATCTACATGAGTTTCTGAATACTACACTTTCTCAGATGAAACAAACTTGATCTTTCGAAAATTGATACGATTATGAAATATATATATGGAGCTATGGCTAACAAATATTTTCTCTGTGTAGTTTGAGATTTAATGGTCGCCTCTGTAGAGCTATAATCACTAACATCTACATTTCAAAATGGCTACGTAACTTCGTTAATTACGTTGCCGTCAAACAAATAAAAAGGTAACTGCCTTTTCCTACTGTTTATTCAATCCTCTGTATGATCTTTCTGTAAGTCAGTTCCTTCGCTAATAATAAGAACTTATCGTTCCTATGATGGAGACCACTGCTTGAGCAAAATCTTGGAAAACTCTTTTCCATTGTAAGGCCTCAGTTCCACCGCTTCTATCACCATTGTCATCACCGACACTGTCACTTTTATCATTGATGTCCACGTCAATGCCGGCATCTAGGTCAACGTCAAAATGAATATCAACGTTACCGTCACTGTCAGTGTCACCTGCTCCAATTCCAAAACCAATATCAAAACCAACTGCTACACCAACAACAGTAGCAATATCAACACTAACACCATGGCCTGCACCAGCTTGAGCGCTAGCACCAACATTAGCACCAACATTAGCACCAGCACCGGCACCAGTACCGGCACCAGCACCAGAGCTAGCACCAGCACCAGAACTAGTACCCTGTCGTCCCTTTCAGAGTGAAGCAGTGGTAATCTGCTCGGGAAGGTCGTACTCACTTGTCCCTCTTTTATATCTCTAAATTCCATTTTACTACTGCTTTCTTGATAATAGACAGCATACACAGACTTGCCTCGGTTTGGTTGTGGTGGTGATGAGGCTTGAACAAGTGGCGATGCAACCTTGTAAATTATATCAAGGTTATCCTTATCTCTCTTATCCCAAGAACTGTACGAATCTTCTTGTCTTCTTTATTCATACGGAACTCCCAGCTTCACGAAAGCAAAAGCTTTGTTTTAAAATTTACATCATCTCCCGCCGGTGGGAACGCCATTCCCTTCTGAATTGGAAATACGTACTCTGCAGCCGGTTAATCGGGAGTTTGAACGTGACGGGTAACATTATATCTTGCATTTCGGATGAAGTTATGAATACTTTTGTTTTGTTCAGGGCCGTCTTGGAGGTTGTGAGCCCCCGTCATGACCCAGCCGTTACCGAACAGAAATCCAGTGTCTATATATTTATTGTCTTGTTCATCTTCCATTTCGATACGGCAGACAACGTTTTTATATTTCTTATGTTCCTCCATTCGGCTCTGAAATTGGATAAATGAATAAGTGTATTCTTGATCACGTCTCTTCGGCGGCTACAAATATCCAAGATGTCTGATACGGAGTAAGGGTACAGGGAATCCGAATTCGTTCCCAGAGTTCTCGGTTTCTTCCGTTCAAGTGCTTTTAACGTGCTTCTAACTTTAGTAGCGAGGGAACGAAAACATTTTTCAAGCTCTTCTTTGCTTTGCACGACTGAAAGGATTTGCAGACCGTAAGTCGAGACACAGGCGGCCCAAGCTCCAGCTGTGTGATGATCATCTTGCGAAAGAAGAGTCATGGCAAAATTATAAGAGTTTGTATGGGAATGTTTACGACCGCCCTTAGGAATAAAAAGAAATCAGCCAAATTCTCAATAAAAATACCACATTCTACTTCAAGTGTATCGCTTGCTATCTGACCGCTTACTATGTTGAAAAGAGCCCATTTTAGCGAGTTATCCATTTCTAGGTTTACTACGTACATAAGAGTAGCTGTACGTAGTAAACCTAGAGATGGATAACTCGCTAAAGTGGGTTCTTTTCAACATAGTAAGCGGTCAGATAACAAGCGATGCACTGTCACGGAAGTAAGGTGCTTACTCCGATCCAGGACTCCTCATGCGAACGCGTAAACCGAAAGACATTTATCACGACCGAATCTCCAGAAGAAGTCTCCTTTCTACAGCGGCCACCCCTTCTGGTTCTTATACATAATCTCTCGGTAAAAGTTATAACTTCACAAGAGGCATTGGTCACGAAAATGCGTCCCAAAAGCCAAAATAGCCTTTGGAAAATTCCCAGATAATCACCGAGTGACAATAAGTGTAGGAAGATTCGTGACAACGAATTCAAATAGACGACTTTTGTTTACAACAATACTTTGCTTTCACCACGAAACTCTTGTTGTACCGTTTCCCGTGTATACATGTGTATCCCGTGTGATGCCGTTGTTATACTAATTTCTAAATTATGTTGTTATATATGGTTATCGCCAAATAAGTAGTATGTCAGTTGCGCAATGAGTTACGCACCTCAGAAAAGGTGAAGATCTGCAACTAACCCCAATGTTTAAGAAAGTAACTTGATTAAAATTTCACTAGAACACGAAGCTGCCTCGCCGCCGTGTTACGTCCTTACTTTTCATACTTTCAAAGAGTTATTTTTTGCTTGATTTTGAACCTAGTTGGGTTGTGTCCTTTCCAACTGTTTGGGGTTTTTGGTTACTTTTAATCGTTTATCTGTTTATCCGTTTATGATTAACTTTATTTAATCTATTTATCATTTTTCATTAAAGGGGCCAGCCAGTGTATTACTGAGACCCTTCATTATAACTTTATGTCCCAAGCCTCTCACGGCTTTGTCGCTCTTTGTCCACTCTGATTGGCTAATCCTAATGGATAATGAGCGAGTAAACCGTGATAAAGAACCTTGAGTAGTTTGCCTTTATAGAGACTAATTGCTGAAGTGGAATGCTTTGTTATTTTTGAAATAGCAAGTTGCATTTAAAAAAGAAGAAGCCTCATTTAAAAAATATGAATTTTAGGTAAATTTTTGCTTGAAAAATACCTTATTTCGATTGAAAGGACAGGAGAAAGTAGGAGAGGGGGGTTCGATCATTTTTACAGAGCTTGGGCCGCCTTTGATAGGATCTCTTCACAAAACAAATCAATGGATGCATATGTGCGTGTTATGTAATAAGCTCAGTTATGCACGCATTCTGATTGCTTCTCACTTATGATCTATTGGAGGACAGACGTGAAGATGACGTCATCATTAAGACTTTTTTTTAATTCTTTATTATATAAAACAAATAGATTCCAAGTTACCGTGCGTCTGTTCAGTGATAGATCACAGAGGACGTAAAATGTGGTAAGAACATCAGTGACACACTCGGCTGCGTCTCGTGTGCCACTTTTTTGTTCTTACCACATTTTACGTCCTCTGTGATCTAATACTGAACAGACGCACAGCAACCAACTTGGAATCTATTTGTTAATTTGACGACAACAGTGAGCTTAGTATAATCTTTGAAGTAACACTGCCTCAAGCAAATCCTCCGCTCATAATTTCATGCACGCAAATTATCATATCAGCTCCAGTTACATTCTTGCCGCCAGCACTGTCGTGTTATAACTAAAATTAGGCCGGCTGATAACCTATCATATCAGAGAATTCTGCTATGGTTTTGACTTATGCTATATCATAAACCCTCTTTCAGGTAAGGTTCCCCACCCATCTGTGAACAAGAATATTATTTTCCGTCCCCCTTTTCCCAGAAAAGAGTTCCCACTATCTGTATACCGGAACTACATCTGATTATATTCCGCTGCTCAACCCCCCTCCCCCAGATAACAGTCCCCACCGCCTGTATACCGGAAATACATTTTACTATACACCCATTACAGATAAGAGTCCTGCTCCATACCAATAATGACCTTCAAGGCGAAAGTCTCAATTTATGGTCTGTAAAAGGCATCTCCTCATTGAGGACCTCAGTTCTGTATAAACTGAAGTGGAAAGCTCGTGATCATATTCGATTTTCAAGTCATGTTGTAGGTGTGTCAAAAAAAGCGAGAGAATAGTTAACTAATTTGTCAGTCATTGTGCAAATTGGTCGATGGACTGACTCCGTTACTTCTTAAATCTGTACTCTCATGAAACGCGATGTTTTAGCTAATCAGAACGCGCGATATATAGAAAACTTTACAATTGAAGAGTGTAATCATTCGTTTAGGATTCTTAATTTGTTCAATATTTATTTTTTTGGCTCGGGTGGATTTGAAAACGAAACTTCAACAAGGAACACGTCAGCAATACATGTAATAAGTAAACGGTAAGCAAAATTCCACTCGATGTAATTTCACAGTACAAGAAACACAAATCGGGTTTCGATGCTCGCGCTCGCCTTCCTCTGGCCTCGTCAATGTAATTTTTTTGCATTCCCCTCGGTACTTGAAAACGAAACTTCAAGACGATAAGTTGCTTGTAAACAGGAAATACTTTAGCAGGAATACGGGTCCGAAAACAAAACTCAGTGGAAAGCAATTCTGATCCTGCTATCATCGTAAATTTACACCACGTAACTTGTGGTAAATTAGCGATGATGACAAGTTTTCGTTTTCGTGAGGTGCATGCTCTAACATTAAAAAGCGTTGTAAATAAACGCACGTTATTTCACTTTTAATTGGAAGGCGGGTATACCGTGTATAAAAGAGATGTTACAGTCATAGATATAGCTTCGTCGGGAAGCAATTTTTCAGAGATATTCCAGAAGTGCGCTTTTGTTGCGAAGAGATCACTCATCACAATGACCACTGCTACTGCTGGTTCATGTACGGTCATAGATGGGAATGATTCCGACTGGGATCAGAAAATGCACAAGCTTTATTCAAAGAATGACATTGGCAACGTACCAGGTCACTACCTGCATTTCGATGGCAGTTTGTTGAAAGCAGATGGAGACGGCAAGAACAACGGTGAGAAAAAATAATAATATGGTGTTAGGCAGATAGCTCGTCAAAGATATCATACTTTATCCTTCGGTTTTCGAGAATATTCGCGTAAGAATTTATAAGCGTAGTTAAACAAGGGTAGGTATGTTTTAAGTCCCGGTTGATATCCTTTGGAAGCAATTTATTGTTAATCAACGAAACGGTATATTATTACCATTATTACCATTGCTGTTATCATCATCATTATCTAAATTTTTTTGGTGTCATTCATGTTATCATTATTGTGTTATCAGTAGTTCGTATAACAACAACCTCTATTTGGGGCAAAAATTTGCACGGATATTTGTCCACGGACATTACCTGTTCCAAGATGCGAACAGTTTTCCGAGAGCGAAGCTGTTGACTATTCGCTGGTACGACTTAATGAACAAAAAAATATATCCCTCCTTATGTAACAACCACAAAACGCTCTCTCAGATCTTGAATCAAATTTTAAACGAAGACTTATCGTGGTGGACGAAAGGTTTGAAAATTGGAGAATATCACGTGGGTGGGAGATATTCAGTCATGGGATTCGTTTAGACCATTCGCGCACGAGCAAAAATATTTAATGGAGCATAAGTATTGTTATTGTTATCACAATCATTATTATTACCATATCATCATTTTTAATACTATCATTAATACTAGGTTTATCCACATTATTCATAGCGGCTAACGAAAGTGTAATCCTGGGTCTTCAACTTTTTCGAGTGAATTAAAGCCACACTGTAGCAATATTTTGTGAATCACCAACTAATGTTTGAATCATGAAGGGCAAGAAGAGAATATCAGTTGTTGATTTTCTCTTGAGGGCATTTAATATTTCATTTACTATGAAGGCTCTTCACACTTTTTTTTTTCTTTATAGCTCGTTTTATATTCCACGAAGCCACGGATCGTGTAGACAACGAGGATGTAACTATTGTTATTCTGGAGCACGAAGAATCTCACAAAGTTATGGCCATTAACACAGAGGATGACAAAGTCACTCTAGAGGTGCGTGACTGAAACCATTTCAGTCGGCTAGAAATTTAATCATCTTTGGTCACTGATCAAAGAACTTTTAAACTTTGTGGTGAAATAAATCCGTTTGACTCTCGATGAAGTCCATTCCGATGTGGATCGGGGTGTTTTGACGGTATACTGCAAGACCTCTTAAGGCGATGGATAAGGTGACGCCTGTCCAGTCGCTTACCAAATGACTTAATTATGAGACAAATGATTAAGATTCACCGCAAGTACGACGAATAACCGTAAGCTTCCCTACAATTTCAACTCTTTAAATGAATAAGGAGGCTTAAATTTACATATCATAATTATCATCTGTTTTGCCTGTGCGTGCCAGTCGTCCAATTGCCCGGAGAGTTAACATTTACACTCAATATCAATTCATGATCTGGATCTATCGCTTATGCATGATACAATACAGATTGAGTTACAGCTTTGATTTTGGCCTAA